CAGTGTTGCCCCGAAGACAAAAAAAAAAAAACACTCCACGCTTAACTCCTCCTCTTTTCATTCCTGGCTGCTTTGTTTTTTCATTTTACTCCATTAAATTTGGGGCATTTTGTTAAGCCTCTTTAAACTTGAAGATATATGTAGTCACAGTTCTTTAATTTGAAGATTCCTTCTATGTTGCTTGTTGCTGTAATTATAATCCATGGAAATTTAAATATAGATAAAAACGGGAGGCAGCGGCTATGGAAAACATGGTGACCACGCTCTCCTTCACAGACCACTCCTGCTTCGGGGCACGAAGTGGACACCCCCCCCCGCGTTTGCCAGTCACAGGAGGGGCCACATCAAAGCCCCCTGCTCCAGATCTCTCTCTGGGAGATCTGGTGGGGCTCTCCCGGAAGCTGAGAGATCCCAAACAGAGCAGAAAGGAATCGGGCATCTCGGAGCGTTCCGAGCGCCGCCTGTCGCCGTGCCGTGCCGACCGAGCCGCCACTATTGTTACTATCAATGATCCTATTGAACTTCTGGATCCTAGGACTGGCCCAGTTGTATTGCTAGGCCCATTGGCTCGAGGGATGATGATCGGATGAACAACGTGGATTTAGATTTGGAAAGCACGCCATCTAATCTTTAGTACTGTGAGCACTTTATTGCTAACTGTTAAATTATGTAATATGAATGAGTATGTGTTTTATGTAGTTTTAAATTTTTATGGTTATGCCGATCAGGTACATTGTACCGCTTTGTTAGCCGCCCTGAGCCTGTTTGCGGGATGGTTTCGTGAGGTTCATGATGCAGTAGCTTTGTCATCCTTTCTGCCAGGGGTGGCTCCACGAGGCCAGCAGAATGGAAGGGGGGGGGTACAAATTACATGCCTGAATTTTATTTTGGTTTTTACCATAGTATTTCTTGTCATAAAAGGCACAGGATAGTCATTCCTGGCCATTGTAATCGAACAGCTAACTTCTTGGCGCTAAATTTGATTTGTGCATTTCCCCCCCACCTGGATCCAGGATCTTAGGCCCAGGAACCAGATTTTAATCCAAATTATGGTCAAGCATTTGCCATATTTTCACCTTGTGAATCATATGCCAGGCCCTACTGTCACATATCTTTGGAATTTTTTGTGTAACACTCCAGCTTTTTCTGTGGCATATGTGCCCCAGTTGTTATTACTGCTAAGATTGTGGCAGCTTTATCATAAATCTTGGCCACTTGTACAGCAAAATATAATTCTGATCCCCAGACTACAATCTAGGAAATATTGGTCATTTCACAGCTGAGGAGCTGGCCATCTAAATTTATGGAGCAATCCTACAGAGATCTACTCAAAAGTAATATTGCTCACTGGGGCTTAATCTCAGGAAACTGCCTTGAGGTTTGCAGCCTTAATCTGTTATATAAGTAAGTCTTCTCTTAAGTTTGAACTAAAATCCTTTTAGATGAACTTGCTTTGTTCATGCTATTGGTTTGGAATTGTTGGATAACTGCCAAGGTTCGTGCATTACCTTTAATCCTCTGATTAATTTTATTGAAATCATGGGATTTGTTAGGTATGTGCTTAGGGGAAAATAAGGGGGAAATGAGCTTGGTTATTTTAAATGTGTATGAGAATTCTGAACTTGTTGAAAATAACAAAATGTCAGGCAGTGGAAGTCTGTATTACAGATATATCTGTTTAGCTCTTCTGCTTTTACAGAGCTTATCTTTGAAAGGGAAAGCATGGCTGAAATTTGACACGCAGATGAAATGAAGAGAGGAAACTGGGCTGAAGAAAGGCAGTCCATTATTCAAGGAGGGCCATAGTTCATTGGTAGAGTGCTTGCATTGTATGAAAAATGTCCCAGATTCAGTCTCCCTGGCACCTCCAATTAAAGGATTAGATAGGATGTTAAATACCTTTGGCTGGAATTTAGGAGAGGGACTGCTACTCCAAGTAGACACAAGTTAACTAGATGGACCAGTGGTGCATTCATGTGAGTGGTTGCATCTTTAATACTCTTCTCCCCCTCCCCCCCCCAAAAATTAGAAATTATTCTGCATTGGATGACTGCATTGCACTAATAAACAAACAACCATTAAATTGAAGTGTCATTGGTAAATTGCAAAGAACTATCACACGTCAGTTTAATGGAATGGAAACTACAACAGCATAGACAGCTTCGAGAGGGGATTCAATAAACATATAGAGCAGAGGTCCATGAGTGGCTATCAGCCACAAGGTATAGATGGAACACTCCGGGGCTGGAATGCTCTGTATTCTGGGTGCTTGAGGAGCAACAGTGGGAGGGCTTCTGGAGTTCTAGCCCCACTGGTGGACCTCCTGATGGCGCCTGAGTTTTGACCACTGTGACACAGAGTGTTGGACTAGATGGCTCATTGGCCTGATCCAACCTGACCTCTCTTGTGTTCTGAACAGATCATTAGCAAAAGGGTTTTTTTTACAAAAAAAACAAACGTCAAGATGATTTCAGGCTGCTTAATACCACTGTAAATAGCTGCTGTGACCTGGTTCTGGTACAAAGGAGGCAGGCTTATAGCTTAGTAAACTGGACCTTTATGGAACTTCCAAAGAAAAATAATGTGGTGTTGTTGTTTTTAAACCAGGGAATTATTAATATCGTGAAGGAATCTGTGAAGAACATTGTTCCAACTTGGCTCCAGCGATACTTCAGACAAAGCGAAGAGGCATCCCCAAACGAACAAAGGAGTCAGGAGGAGAATGTGAACTTTCATCCTGCCTTTGCTGCCGACATCACTGACAATACCCTGGAAATTGATGGACGAATCACTCCTGAGCCAACAAGAATTAATTTAGACGGTCAGTTGAAGATTTTCTCCAAGATTATAATCACAAACACATGTTTACATGTTGATTAACTGGAAACTGAGGAATAGTGTTTTGCATATTTTAGTACATTCCATTGAAAGTCATTGTAGACTCCTTAATCTTTCATTTTTGTCTCCTAGACATTATTTTGAAATGTTGGACTGATGTTTCAGCTAACTCAGTTTTGCCCACCAACAGTTTCTGAGACATCATCATAGAAACTAAGACAGCTTAGGTGTCTTGTCAAGTCTTGTAGATATGGGTGTTCCACTCTTAGTCACTGTGATTACTCTCTCCTTTGTTTTTTAATACCCATAATCTTCCAGGCACTAAACAATGATCCCTCATGATTCCTACCCTAGGAGGCTTATATTTTAAGTTCACTGCAATATTTATTGGCTTGGCTCTAGTACAAGTACAAGTTTCATTTATTGTCTTAGCCATTGGCCATAACAACACAAAGTAAATCAAAGCACAACAGAAATATACATAAATAACTTGCTGTAAGTCCTAGACCCCATCTTATCTTTTTTGCCGCCAGTGCAAACAAAGCCATTCTGCTAGTAACATGTGCATCAGTATCAGAGAGCAAGAACACGGTCAAATCCTGCTCAGCAATTCCATTATACAGAGGTACAATAGGATAAATAAAACTTTGCCTAAGTGATTTGTGCCATAAACATCTCAGAATGTAATGCTCGAAATCATCCACTTCACCCATACCACATAGGCATATTCTAGAGGTGGCAGGGGCACCCAGAAAGCGACCAATACAAACCATTGAGGGTATGACATGGAACCTTAGGGCAGTAAAAGCCTTTCTCGGCTTGGCTCTAAATACTTCGCTCCATGAGCAGCAGGCACCTGTATACATAGGGAACAGAGTTCTCTCCATCCTTGTTTACAGCTCCTCTCTGCTCCTGAAGATCCAGGAGGCAATCTGAAAGCCTTTCTGCTCTTCCTTGCCTTGTAGAATCTTTGCAACAAAGCCAGTGTTCATAGTTTGTTTTATTACTAGTGCTCCTAGTCCCAGGATGCTGTTGCAGCATTAAGTTTAAAAGCAGTAACAGCAATAAGTTTATTATTGCCTTCTACCAATACCTCGTTGTAATAACATAGTACTGTACTTGGAAGAAATGTGGTATCCATTTTCAGACAGATAAATGAAATCTTACGTGTATATTGTTCAGGTAAAATAACTGCCTGTTAACGAAACTTGGCAATAGAGCTACTGCACATAGGAAATAGCTTTGCTGTTCATGCATTTGCTTCAAAGAGTGCTAATTCCTTTGCTTTGTTCATCCTTAGGGCCCTCAACAAGTAGGTCTGGTTTAAACTTCACAGATACTTTAACAAGACCATCTCTCCATCGGAGTCACCTTAACTGCACCATCTTAGATTCCCCGCCGCCACTTTGCCAACCCTCCACGTCATCTACATTTCCAATTAGTAATTCTGGACTTTCACTTGGAAAGGAAATGAAAGATTCTACCTCTCAGCACGATGATGACAACATCTCAACTACGAGTGGCTTCTCTTCAAGAGCATCTGATAAAGGTAACAGACTCGATCACAATATAATTTGGTTACTGGCTTGTTAATAATTTTTAGTACCTTGTATTATTATTGGAGCTGCGGTGGCTCAAGTGGTTAAGACGCTGAACTGCAGGCTGTGGAAGTTCGGTAGTTCAGCAGTTCGAGACCCGTGTGCCGCATGATGGAGTGAGCTCCGGTCTCTAGTTCCAGCTCCTGCCAACCTAGCAGTTCAAAAGCAAGAAATTGCAAGTAGATAAATAGGTACCGCTTCAGTGGGAAGGTAACAGCGTTCCGTGCGCCTTGGTGTTTAGTCATGCCGGCCACATGACCACGGAAACGTCTTCGGACAGTGCTGGCTCTTCGGCGTTGAAATGGAGATGAGCACCGCAACCCTAGAGTGGGATTCGACTGGCTTTCGAGCAAGGGAACCTTTACCTTTATTATTCCAACAGGGCGCGGGGAGGGCGGGGTATAAATAAAAATAAATAAATAAATATCAGGTGGTCTAGTTTGTTTTTAAATTAAACTTCCATTTTCTTATGCTTTTAGTTCTTGTTCTTACCTTTAAGGCCCTAAATGGCTTGGGACCAGGGTACTTGAGCCAGTTTGGTGTAGGGGTTAAGAGCGGCAGACTCTAATCTGGCGAACCGGGGTTGATTCCCCACTCCTCCACATGTAGCTGCTGGGTGGGACCTTGGATCAGTCAGATGTTCTTTCAGAGATGTTCTCTCATGAGCAGTTCTCGAAAAGAGTTCTCTCAGCCCCACCTACCTCACAGGGTGTCTGTTGTGGGGAGGGGAAGGGGAAAGAGATTGTCAGCCACTCTGAGAATCCTTCGGGTAGTGAAGGGTGGGGTATAAATCCAATCTCCTCTTCTCTTCTTGAGGGACTGCCTTCTCCTGTACAGTCCAGCCTACCATTTAGGGTCTTTTTCCCTCTACTTTGTGCCCTGTTGGTAAAGGTGAGATGGATGGCAACTGGATATGGGGCTTTCCTAATGGTGGCACCTCCCCTTTGAATGTCGAGTCCCCCTTGAGGCTTTCTTGGTGTCTGCCTTACTTTTGTTTAGGTGTCAGGCCAAGACATTTCTTTTTATGCAAGCTTTCAGCTGAGGCTTTCATGCTATTTTTATGGTTTGCTTCTAGCCTGAGGACTGTTTACTTTTTTGTCTTTATATATATACTAGCAGTAAAGCCCGTTGTGAAAGCAATACAACGGGATCTAGAAAGAGGCTCTGGGGCAGTGCTCTGGCTTTGGGCAAACAGTGTCAATTTGCTGTGGTGACCTCAGCAGGGTATAATGACAGAGTCCACTGTTTTCTCCAGAGGAACTGATCTCTGCTACCTGAAGAGCAGTTGTAATTGTGAGTAATCTGTAGCCCTCACCTGGAAATTTGCAACAATTGTTACCCAGGACGAAATGGCTGGTTTGGAGGGTGGAGTCTATGGCAGTGTACCTGTCTGAGGTCCCACCCCTCCTCAAACCTCACCCTCTTCAGGCTCCATCCCTCAAGTCTCCAGGAATTTCCCATCTGGAGTTGGCAACCCTATCAGGATTGGCCCCAATGTGTTTTCTCCCAAAGGCCAAAGTAGGTGACAGGACCAAGCTTAGTTGCCTACCAACAGGCACTGAGGGGAATGTAGGGTTGCCAGCTCTAAGGAG